GGGAAAAAGAAAGACCTAGCCTTCATGTCATCATGTATTTTATAATATGCATGTATAAACCATTGATATGCATATAATTTTACTATATTAATAAAAACAACCCCCAGACCTCAGGGAATGTTAAATCTGACTGATTTTACTGAGGATGAACACGTCTTTTTTTTTTTAAAGGTTTTATTTATTTATTTGAGAGAGAGAACACAAGCAGAATAAGGGGCAAAGGGAGAAGCAGACTCCCCACTGAGCAGGGAGCCCGATGCGGGGCTCGATCCTGGGACTCCAGGATCATGACCTGAGGCGAAGGCTGACACTTAACCTAGTCGCCCAGGTGCCCCGAACATTTCTTTTTATAAGGTGCTACTCCACCCTACTTCCTTCTATGCTCAGAAGCTCAGAGCTGTCTAAAAATTCCAGGCTGCTAGGAACAAGACCTCTGCTTGTACTCAACTACATTCATGCTTTCACTCTCAAGCCTACCGATGTTCTGAATATTTGTAGTATTTATGGTCGCTACTTTTTAATCAACATAGATTCTGATAAACTAAAAATACTTTTTACCATTCCCGATCCTACGATTAAAAATGATAAAAGCTGTTAACATTAGAAGAAACAAGCCTTTCCCACAAAGACAAAATGAAGAAGAGGGAAAGATGTTAAATGAGGAAATGACATGGGACACTTTATAATCAACAATGTTCTAAAAGGTACACTGAAAGGTACACTATGTAGATAAGGGAAATACGAACCCAAAAGCAAATACGAAGGCATAAAAGGACACATATTCATTTTAAATATTCTATTCCCAATCTTTTTTTTTTAAAGATTTATTTATTTATTTTGAGAGAGTGAGAATGAGAGGGAGAGAGAGAGAGAGAACATGAGAGGGGGGAGGGCCAGAGGGAGAAGCAGGTTCCTCGCTGAGCAGGGAGCCTGATGCGGGACTCGATCCCGGGACTCCAGGATCATGACCTGAGCCGAAGGCAGTTGTTTAACCAACGGAGCCACCCAGGCGCCCTCTATTCCCAATCTTAAGGCAAGAAGTCACTGTCTTAAATATGATTATGTTGCTATCTATACTAACAAATTTTTGTGTGCTATGTGGGCACACACACACATACATTGTTACACATATGCGCCAGGGCTCCTTTTATAAATCATTTCCTTGGTGTTAAAAGGCACTTTAACTTAAAATTGTACAGAGGATGACAGAAAGTATTTCTTAGCTTTTATGACAATGTTGGACACATATATGATATATTAATTTGTATCACTGATCAGGGATAAACACTCTTTAAGGCGAAAATAATGATGTACTTTACCAACAACACAGGTTGTGACAAGGTTTTCAGAAATCCACTGTGGCAAAAAGTTAAGAAAAATTTGCACCTTTATTTTGGTGGAATAAAAACAGAAAAAGTAACAGGAAATTGAGATAACATTGCTACAATTCAGTTCTTCTCTGTCGATCAAAAAGATGAACCATAAGAAATTAAACCACAGGTAATGTTATTCATGCTTTAAAATAATCCATTAAGTCACTCAAATAAAACCGCTAATCAAGGAAATTTTGAAAAGGATTTTCAATGACTTTCAGTGAAAACGTTCTTTATTGGTAAAGCAGACACTAAAAACTTTTTAATTACATAGGTCATGCAAAACAATTGACCTCACACAAGGTCGTCTACCTGCTCATTCTAACATAATCTTTTTGAGATGATTATAAATTTTATAAGTTACGGTGACTACAATAGTAAAAAGAATTCAGGAAGACGACTCTAATGAAGCAAAACACTATGTAGTACATGTGAAAGTATTGTTCTGAATGTTTAATTCTCCCTCCTAATATAAATCTCTACATTTTGGAAGACTATCATATACAAAAATGGCAGTAGCTTTTGCATGTGCATCTACAGGCACTCCATCTAAATGATAAAAAGAAACTACAGGAATAACATTTCAAATACTTTTATAGGGTTTGGTTAATCCCCTCACCCCATTTTGTTAACCCAAAATAGGGCAGTGCCCTTTTATTTAAAATGTTCATTTTGTTTCAATAGAATATTTCCTAAGGAAGATGTCTTTGCTCCTATGAAAATGTAGTTTATCCCCGGTAACATTTTGAACTGCTATTATTTATATATTCTCCAAGTTGTCAATTGGTGGAGAGGCGCATGGCTTCCTGTTATTAGGAATAATCTTCTCACTCTGCGCTGTGACACTGAGAACAAGATTCTCTGTGGTGGTGAGATCAACACTTCCATCCTGTGGGAGTTCTGATAGCACTGCCAGTAGGAAAACTCTACCACAGGTCAACTCACCTCCTTGAAGTAAGCAGAGCCCCCAGAGAAAGGTGAATTCCAAATCTCCTACTGGCACATTCAAGTCAAGTGGCAGTGAAAAGGCATAGTAGACTTTCCCAGATACCTGGATACAGGGCGCTGCTGGAACAAACACCTCAAAATGAGGGCATAGCTTTGCACCGAGGCGGTGGGTAGAGGTTGGAAGAACTTTTAGGAGCATGGCAGAAAGAGGCAGGATTGCCTTGAACACTGCTAGTACATCTATGGATGTTAATCTAGTGAGGGCCGAAGGAAGGACAGAGCAGGGTAGAGAGCACGTAAATTGCCGTGGAGATCATGTAAATTGTCATGAACAGACTGTTAGAAGAAAAAAGGACATTAAAGGTGCTGCCAATGAGGGCTTGGTAGGAAATGAGGTACATGCTGTTGGAAAGTGAAGGCAAAGAGATTCTGGTTATATAGTGGCAAGAAGCTTTTAGCTGCGATGTGTCTGCAGTTAGGTGGAAAGCAGAAGTTGTAAGGGATAAACTTAAGATATTTGGTTGAAGAGATTTCTAAGCAAAGTGTGCAAGGTGCGGCCTGCTTTCTTCTTGCTGGTACGACATGAGTGGAGATAGACGAATTGAGGAAAGAACTGTTTAATACATAGAAAACAGGACTCGATGACTTGGAAATTCTTAGCCTACCCAAATGACAAAGGACATTCCAAGTAAGGAATTCACTGTCAGGGAAGCCAGCTCTAAGGGAGAGATGAGGGTGCAGCTACACAACCTGCTAATATCTAAGGAAGGCCTGAGTTGTCTGTCACACCACAGGTCTTTGAAGAGATGAAGGGTGTGACTCATAGATCCTCTCAGCCTTCTCAGAAAAAGCCAAAAATAGAGATGGGATTACCTAGGAATGCTTTGTGCAGGGGCCTCTAGAATCCTCCTAAAGAACTGAATCCTCCTAACAGGCACACGAGATCCCTAAGTTTCTGGAAATGTTAAACCAGCAGCCATTGCTACCCTAAATTGAAAAGGACGGAGATGGTATGAAATGAAAGATAGCTGGACTTCCCACAATTCCATAGGTAAGCAACAAGCTGAAAACACTACTCAGCTGCAAACAGGTGCTACCTTTCGTGAAACAGGAAAAAGGACTCCGAGGGGACATCACAAGCCTAGGAGATAGTGCTGCGGGCCGGAGACTGTTCCCACGATTGGACATCTAATGGAGTGTGCATGGCTCCCTTCTAAATCTTGGCACGGGTGGCTCCTTTGAGCATCCTGTTTTGTTTGTTTGAACAGGAATGTCTATCAACCCTATTCTATGACCATTATCTTTGGGAGGAGATAACTGGTTTTCTAGGTCTGCAGGTACATAGACGGAGAGGAACTGTGTCCCAGGAATCATAACCCAAACCCACACTCACACTTGATTTAGATGATTTAAATGAGGTTTGGGACTTCTGAGCTGGTGAGATTCAGATAAGGTTTTGCACTTTGATGCTATGATGGGTTGACACTTTTGACCATCTTTGGATGGGGTGACTTTATGTAGGATGGATGTGAATCTTTGGGGCAGGAGTGGACTGTGTAGTCAGAATGGCCTCCAAAATATTCATGTTCTAATCACCATACCTGTAAATTCGTGACCTCATGAAGGAAAAGGATTTTGCCAATGTGATTAAGTTAAGCATTTTGAGATGAGATTTTTCTGGTAATTATTCTAGGTAAACCAAATGTAATCACAAGGGTCCTTGTAAGAAGAAGGCAGGAGAAATAAGGTTAGTAGTAAAAGATGTAAGGACAGAAGCAGAGATTGGAGAGATGCAGCTCGAGTGAAGGGATGCGAACGGCCTTAGAAGAGGCAAAGAACAGACTCATTCCTGGAGCCTCCTGAGGGAATCTGTGATATATCACTTTGCATGGTAAAAGGGACTTTAAAGATGCAGCTAAGGTTACTATAGACCTGATGATGGGGAGATAATCTTGAATTATCTGGTGGGCCCAATCCAATCACACGAGTCCTTCTTAAAAGCAGAGAACTTCTCCTGGCTGGTGTCAAAGAGATGTGATGACAGACAAGAGTCAGAGATGTAGTATTACTGGCTTTGAAATGGGAAGAGGGGGCCACAGGCCAAGGAATGCAGGTGGCCCCTAGGAGCTGGAAACACAAGGAAATGATTCTCCCCTTAGGGCCTCTCAGAAGGAATACAGCCTTGTCAATGCTTTAGCTTAGCGAGTAAGACCCATGTTGGACATCCAACCTACAGAATCAGAAAATAATAAATTTGTGCTATTTTAAGCCACTAAGTTTGTAGTAACTTGTTACAGCAGCTACAGAAAACCCACCAGGCATGGTGACCAAAGATGAAATGTTATCTGGGAGGAAGAAAAAGCCTTTCTATCATTCCTGATATAGCCTGATATAGCCTACCTCATTCAGGAAATACCTGGCTTTGGCAGAAATGCAAATATTTTTTTGCTGGTTATTCTTTAGATCCAGTCTGGCTGACAGAATTTACATTTCTGAATTTATACACTCATTTTGCCCTGGAGTAGAATACATTCTGGGTTGAACACTTAGAACAGTGTTCAGTATATATAGTGGGTCCCTTAGAAAAATGTGTTGAATAAATAAATGAATGTGATCAAGGCAGGCTCTGGAAGGGATTGTAATTACTCTATTTTAAAGTGCTGTTTAACGGATCTTCTCAAGAACTGCTGACCTTTCTGTCCTTGTTTGTGGTTTATGATGGTCATAGTTCTGTAAAATGCAAGGCGAAACCGTATTTTTTGACACTTAGTAATGTAGCTAAATCAGTAAGTAAAAAGGACGCATACAATCTTAATAGGAGGAATAATTATACAATCAACGTATTTCAAAATTAGAATACAGATACTTTTCAGTATATATCACAGAAAAAATTCCAATTTGATCAGAGGATTTCCTGATAGCTGTTGATCAATGCACCAACAAGAAACTTTAGTGCAAATTTTACCAAATGCATTTATCAAAATGGGGTTCTGTTCATTTCCTCTGCAAACAAATGTTACATTAACCCAGAGCATGTAACAAATTGGTTTGCCCGAATATTTACAAGCTATCAACATAAACCAGCCCTGCAACTAAAAACTCAAATATATTTATCTCAAAATCTATTCCTAGTCCAAATTCATCTATACTAAGGCTGGAAGACAGAATAAGAATAAAACCGAAATTTATCTGTATAAATAATAAAAATAGTTTGTTTTCTTAATGCTCTACGTATTTTCCTTATTATTATGGCACATTATCTTTCCTACATGCTACTGCATGGATAGGAGCAGTATTATTTTAGTTGCTGGAGTATCACAGTGTTAAGAATATCTGCTTCTTGAAGTGTCAGGCTTTCATCTGTTAGCTCTTTATTTGGAAATGAAGTCACAAGAATAAAGTCAAGAGTCGCAAATTCAGGACGGGACTGTATAATAAAGTCTCGGACATCCAGGATCCTGAAGAAGTAAGATAAAAATAATTTGTGATATAAAAGTTTTATTCTCATGTAAGCTTTTAGCTAAAATTAGACAATAGTAATAAAAATCACACAATTATAATCCTTATTTAAATGTGTTGTAATTTTTAAAAATTTACATTATTTCAATGGATGGATTTATATTGGATTATAGATAAATGTGAGCATTAACTCTAGTGTAGCTGATATTTACTTTTTTTGTAAACAGAGACAATCTTTAGGTGAGTTATGCATAAAATAAATGTCAACAATGTTATTATATTAAAAGTACAGGTCCTACTTTTTTCAGAGTATAAAATACCTTAATAGCAAATGACCCAATAAAAGATACCCCAGATTGGCCTGTGTCAAGGTGAGTCTATAACTCTGAAAGGTTTAAGTCATAAGGACAATTTTTAAAAATTATCCTTTTTTAAAAACTTTCACATATGCCTAGCAATTCGACTAAGATTATATATATATATCCCTTAAGGAACAAATAAAAATGGTACCTTATTAGTACAACAAATGTATAAATGAATGTTAAAATGACATTTAAAACAGTTTATTTAAAGTATCTGACAAAAAAAGTACTTGACAATAGTACAATTATACTTTATCTACATTACAAATTTATATTGTGAAGAATTTGCTAAAGTAGAAATTTAATTCCAATCAGAATTATCATAATTTTAAAATGACTGAAGTCCAAATAAAGTTTTACTTTATTTACCATATTAAACCAAATTTGATCCCACTTCACATGGTTTTAGCAACAGTGCAAAAGTGTAACTTTTAAGAATCTTATTTTTGAGTGATATCTGAATTTGCATTAGTATTTGAGCAGTTTAGAGAATGTTCAAATACTAAGTATTTCACACAGCTATTACCCTTTTATTTTTCTTCTCTCAAAAACTTACTTAAAAAGTATATGTAAAGAATTTCGTATTGTTCATTACTAAGTTTTATAAATATAAGTAACCACGTGTGAAACCACAAATGAGCTTACCTGTGTGTACTATTGAATCTTTGTATCAAACGACTCCCATCTGCTAATCTGATCTGAATTTTTGTTGTTGGCACCGAATCATCAATAAGAACAACTGCATTAAGTATTGACTTATTCTCCTCTTCTGGGGATGAAGGTGTACTGACTATTTCAGGGGTAAGGCTAAGAAAGAAGAACTGAAGAATTAGAACACGAATCTGAATACATCATAAGATGCGACAAACTGAAGACAGTGGAATAGCCACTGTTATCCATAGTTGATTCTCCAGTGTTCCTGCCTATGACTTCGGGACCAGCAAGAACATGGCTTCCTTTGAGTCTCCCATACTCCTAACTTCTTTTGTTATATTAAAATTAGTTTGTATCCTATGACTCTAGTTTAGCTTATTCAATCTCTTTCAAAAGCTTAATTTTGTATTTTTTCCTCCTTTATAATAACCTTTGAAATTCCATGAAGCTGTTTAGCACAAGTCTTCACTCAGAAATCTGAGCAACTCTGAGTTAATGTCAAAGAATGACTATGAGTACAGACAGACTTGGGTTCAAATCCTAGCTATGTCAACAGCATAAATTTGAGGAAGTAAATTCATCTCTCTGAATCCCAGTTTTATCATGTAAAAATGGGGGGGGGATAATACAATGTTATGTGGGCTTGTTATATCAGTAAGTCACAACAGTGTTTCAACAGGTGCCAGCTATTTTTGTACGTATCATCAGTACTAAACTATTAGCTTAAACTTATCTAATATTACTTAAAAACATGTGATTTAAGTAGTTACTGCTTTATAAAAGAGAAGTAATTTCTATGTGCTAGTGAGGAATGAAATTTTATATATGGTGATAGATTTATTTATTTATTTTTTAAAAGGTTTTATTTATCTTAGAGAGAGAGTGTGCACAAGCAGGGAGAAGGGACGGACAAGCAGACTCTACAATGAGCACAGGGTCCAACGCTAGGCTCGATCCCAGGATCATGACCTGAGCCAAAATCAGGAGTTGGATGCTTAACCGACTGAGTCACCCAGGTGCCCCTATGGTGATCGATTTATAATGAAACTTATTTGATAGGACATCTTACCATTGGAACTTGATTACTAATGACTTTAGCACTGCTTTCTTAGTGACTTCTAATGCTAGCAGAATGTCCCATCACTGTAAGCTGAAAGCCAGTGTCAAAAAAAAAAGTGTCCTTTTGGTTAAGAAATTAAAGCAAACTTAGCCAAATTCTTTATAGATATCAAATCTTAATCTTCCCCCTAAGTTATCTAAAGGGATTATTTAATAGACTTAATGTTTATTTTCTCAAATACTGAGATTCAGACAGCATCCTATGAATTATTTTCTTTTGAAAAAAATAAGTATATATTAGCATAAAAGTTCTAGGAGCAATATTTGCTCATCTTGACTCTTATTCCTACCCAAAGTTTCTCAAAATATATAGTAAGGTAGTAAAATTAACTGGTACTTACTGCTAACACTTCCCCTTTCTTTAGCTATTTCCTGACATATATTTTAGAATCGATTGCAGAATATATATGATAAAGACATGAAAAAGAAAATGATGATTTGCGATCACTGATCAGGTATTCTTAAGGAATTTTCCTTCAAGTTTGGAACTGAGGCCTTAAGCAGTTGTACCACCAAGTTGGTTCACTGTGCCAACAGTCCAGTGTCTCTTACACAGTGAGAGGTACAAAAACCAAAGGGAAGGGACACTGAATGCAAAGGACCTCTTTCTCTTCCTCTGCCTCACTGATAACTAGGTGTATACATTATTATTATTATCACTATCACCAACACAGCTACCACTGAGTTTGTTAGTTCATTTAAAACATGATGTGAATGAGGGAATAGTGGCTTAATAGTTAACAGCATGGATCCAGAAGCCTGACTCCAGGATTATGACTCTGCCACTTACTAGATGTGTGACCCTGGGCAAGTGACTTAACACTGAGTTTCCTCATTTGCAAAACAGACAACAGCACCACAGCTGTAAAGATTAAGTGAATGAGGACATGGAAGCATTTCAAACAGTGCTTTTTTATAGTTGACACTTCCTGTAAGGCATTATAGTTCCTATCCTAACAACAACTGGGGAGGGAGAAGTTACCTCTATTAAATGAGATGCCTCAGACCCCTGTTTCTATAGTCTAATGCTTTCTGTTTAAAATACATTCTGACCAGATAAGCTTCTTCTCAAAATATAAGAAGAAAGTATCAGGTAAGGAAACTAGGTAAGGAAAGTTCTTTCATGTGTTTTTTTTTATAAGATGTGCGTATGTCAAAATGAAATTATATGGAATAATAACATTTGAAGACAGGAATGGATTTTCAAGATAGTTTAGGCCAACAATATCATTTTATAGGAAAACAACAGAGTCAGAGAGATTGAAAGACATGCTCAGAGCCACAGAGATAGGTAGTTGAGCTAGTTGGTTAGTGAGGTATAAAAACACATTTAAAAAAGTACAGTAACTTGGGGCGCCTGGGTGGCTCAGATGGTCAAGCGTCTGCCTTTGGCTCAGGTCATGAACCCAGGATCCTGGGATCGAGCCCCGCATCGGGCTCCCTGCTAGGCGGGAAGCCTGCTTCTCCCTCTGCCTCTGCCTCTCTCTCTCTCTCTGACTCTCATGAATAAATAAATAAAACATTAAAAAAAAAAGTACAGTAACTTAACTATTTAGCCTTCAAAGTTATACCTGCTTACTACTTAAAAATGTCTCATCATTCAACTGACCAAAATATAGTGACATTTTCAATATATTGTTTGTATGTTTCAAGAATTATATTAATAAAAAAAGAGGGAAGTAAACTGATAAAACAAACTTTCTAGGCGAACTGGAGGAAAAGATGTAGGTTGGTTGTAAGAGGAGTGAGTCCCTTGCTCAGGAAGAGAAACATCTTCTAACTTAAGAGAGAGCAGTACAGATGGATTTAATAAACTTTGAGGCTACGAGGTATATATTATGAAAGCTAGTTCTTGTCAGGCTCCATTTTCTCAGGGAAGCTGGAAGCAAAAACACAAATCTGCTGAGATGAGGGTGGGGAACATTTGGGATCAGCCCTTCGAGAGCGGGAGAGGGGCAGCTTGCCTGCCTAGCATGGGGGTGCGAACGTCCCCAACAACACTGAACTGCACAGGCACAGACAAATCCAGCGGCTGAATAGTAAGGCAAGAGGCTGCAGAATTGCTGGGATAAGAAAATGAAGAAAAGGCAGGAAGGAAAGGGTTGTTCCCCTTCTCAGAGAAGAGAGCCCTTAAAGGTCCAGGGATCAAGATGAAGTCAAAACTCAGGTTTAGTGGCCAGAATGGGTGAGTGGCACACAGAATCTTTTGGACTGTACAGTATGAAAAACAGGCGGTGACTGTTCTTAAGCGGAGAGATTTGCTTCAACTCACGATCTGTACCATCATACGCACAAGCTCAAAAGCCTACAGCAACTGTCTACTTCTTAGCCCTGCTTATCAAAAATGATTCTGTAATTTTCTAGGTCTATTGGGCTCTACTCCAGCTCACTAAGCTAATTTTTATGCAGCTTATTGTGCCACTGTACATTTGCAGTTTTGTGCCTATGATTTGCTTGTTCCTATGATATTACATGAAGGAACTGGGTAGTATTTTTATTGCATTTAGGTTTACTCCCCAATCATTTGTAATATCTCAGTAAAAAATTATGTTAGTTTCCATCTGTGTAATGTTCTGTTTGCAATAAGACTGCCAGCTATGGAAGACAATGGAATTATTTCCATTTCTGTTCTGTTTGCTTCTTTTTAATTATTTTTCTGTTCAGTAGTTGCCTGTAACTCTTGGGAAATGAGCCATTTCAGAAAGTTACTTTCTGAATACATAAAGGTTAACCGTTAGAACTTTTATATTTTAACGGATTTCTTACTGTAAATCCTTTGTAAAATGTTCTATGCAATTCGTCACTTTCTTAGAACATATATTCAACTACACAACATTCTAATTCACGTGCATCAGATAGGCTCACACCACCCCATTAATCTCCTAGTATAATTTCCTATATGGTAGAAGCTAAAAATTCTAAAGACTACATTTCTCAGACTCCCTTACAGCTAGGATTTTATATAATTCCACCCTTCTACCGAGCAACAAATGACACTTTTATGGTGAATGTAAGCACTGTGAAGTGAAAAGTATGTAGCTCTTCTGGTTACGAAGAATCATTTGATTTTTCTACAGCGGTCACGATGGAATGTTCTAGTGTCTGATCCCTAGCTTCATGGGCACTGAGTAGCTGATGGGGGCACAGAAAATGTTTTCTAGAAAGTTCTTTGTTGTGTTTGTTTCTTCTAGAAAGTTTGGTTTGCTAGCTCCAGAAAATATATTAAACTCTCCAGGACTCTGTCAGAAGCCCCTTATTAAACTAGTAAGTGGATTCTGTTTTCTACAATCAAAAACCCTGACCAATATGGCTAAGGGTTAACAAGCCAGCATTCTCACCACTTATTTTCGTCATTCTCCTCCATCATTCCTCCTTTCATGGGGGTCATTTCTCTGGCTATTTGCCTCCTGAGGAGAAAGGCCAGTCTTTGCAAGATAAGCAATGAGATAACCCCCTTATTCTCATGAGTTGAGATGTTGATGTAATTACCGGCTCTTCTCAGCTATCTCCCCTTTACGCTACTTTCTTCCATTTCAGTTCTAGATTTACTGTTGTGCTAACCAAGATGCGCATTCTAACGTTCACTCTTGGTCATACACTTAAATAAGAAAGAAAGAATACGTATAAAGCAGAGACGGCAGGGCATTTTACTTGTGTTCTAATTAAAAATCATAACCTCAATAAACATTAAGAAATGAGAAGTGCTAGGGGCACCTGGGTGGCTGAGTCGTTAAGCGTCTGCCTGCGGCTCAGGTCATGATCCCAGAGTCAAGGGATCAAGCCCCGCATTGGGCTCCCTGCTCAGTGGGGAGCCTCCTTCTCCCTCTCCCTCTGCCCCTCCCCGTCGCTTTTACTCTCTCTCTCCCAAATAAATAAAATCTTAAAAAAAAAAAAAAAAAAAGAAATGAGAAGTGCTAGGAAATACTTTTAAAAAATATATCTGGAGGTCATAGTTACAAAAACAAAACAGAGGAAGAAAGAACAATCAGGACAAACCTGACCTGTGTTGGTAGTAAGGAGAGATGAGGAAGAAAATTTCCAAGTAGACCTGTGAGTGGGCACTGAAGGATTTGGATCCTAAGAAAAGCCAAGGTGACATGTGTTCTGTATTCTCTACATGTCTCAGAAATCAGTTTCTATCAGGAGAAAAGGATACAGAAAGGGACACTTGAGGTATGAAAGACAAGTGTAAAGAACTGATATGAATTCTTCCCTATTCTGAGAAACACAAGGGGAATGGAGAACGACAGTGCACGAGGCAAGTGAAAAGAAGCTAGAAGGGAAGGAATCACAGGAAAAGGAACAAAGGATGCACAAAAGGGTATGCTGGAAACATGGTCAACGCTACAATTTCACATGTCACTTGTAGTAATATGTGGACAAATACAGGGTTAACTTCTACCAACAAATTTTACAAGATTTATGAAAATTCTTTTAAGTCAAGGCTTTTATATAGGAGTCCACTCCTACATATACAACGCACATTGGTTTCTGAATTGTATTTGGCAAAGTCCTAGGGGATCTTTAGAAACATCTCCAAGGCAATTCCTTCCTTCTCCTACAATAGAAGCTCTGGTTTTGTTAAGTGTTTTATGTACTGGGTTTCCCTAACTTGAAGAAAGAGTTTGGTGGCTTAACATATACAGAAAACAACCAACTTCAGCACATTGCTCTTGCTGCAAGAGCTTACCAATTACTTAGATAGACAAGCATGCTTACAGCTGTGATCTAAGATGCCTATTGTTCAATCTAATCAAGACTCTTTACAATTTTCCCTTTTGAGCCCATGTAATCAGAAAGAGGCAGGATGGCACAATGGTAAAAAGCACAGACCCCAGCCAGTGGGTGGGTCTGAATCCCACAAAGTAACCACTCGCTAGCTCAATCACCTTGGGCACACTACTGCATTAGCAAATGAAGTAATCACAGGTTCTACATCCAAGAGTTGTGAAGATTAAGTGAGTTAATGTATGTTAAAGTGCTTACGGGCCAGGAATGTGGTAAATGCTATCTAAGTATTAGCTACTGATATTATCACTAGATTTGCATATCTAATTCCATCAGCAAGGTCTTCACGGTTCACGTTTTAGTTTTTACTTTCTAGGTTATTTTGCTTTTTTGATTCTCAAAGAAAAGTCATGCTGAACAAAGACAAGTATTTTTCTCATTTTAGGATTTTACCTTCCAAGTTTTTGTCCTTCTCCACTAAAAGCCTTGAACCTCAATCTAGGTTTTATGTATTCTTGATCCTGATGGTCCTCCATATCCAAATTCACGTGGCCACCATGAACCAGCCGCTGAAGCTCCAGGGGAATCTCTCTTTTAAAAAGGGAAAAAGGTTTTAGTAACTTAAAAAAAATTAATCTACACTGTTGACATTACTATAATCAAATTGTTAGTTATACTGGAAAACAGCAACTTTTGCTTAAATTATAATATAAACATTTCCATGATGATTTGATTAGTCCTTGTAGATATTTTCTTCTTCAAGTTAGATCACATTATGGTACCTCCAGCTTTGCTTTTCTTTTTCAAAATTGCTTTGGCTCTTTAGGGTCTTTTGTGGTTCCATACAAATTTTAGGATTGTTTGTTGTAGTTCTGTGAAAAATGCTGCTGGTATTTTGATAGGGATTGCATTAAATCTGTAGATTGCTTTGGGTAATAGAGACATTTTAACAGTATTTGTTCTTCCAATCCATGAGCATGGACTGTCTTTCCATTTCTTTGTGTCATCTAAGCTATCATGTCACACCTGTCAGAATGGCTAAAATCAAAAACACAAGAGACAAGTTTTGATGAGGACGTGGAGAAAAAGGAACCCTCTTGCATTGATGGTGGGAATGCAAACTGGTGCAGCCACTTTGGAAAACAGTATGGAGGTTCCTCAAAAAGTTAAAGATAGAACTACCCTACAATCCAGCAATCGTACTACTGGGTATTTACCCAAAAATACAAAAACACTAAATCAAAGGGATACACGCATCCCTGTATTTATAGCAGCATTATTTACAATAGCCAAAATATGGAAGCAGCCCAAGTGTCCACTGACTGATGAAGAGATAAAGATGTGCTACAAACAAACACACACACACACAGCAATATTATTCAGCCATAAAAAAGAATGAAATCTTGCCAATTGCAATGACATGGATGGAGCCAGAGTATAATACTAAGCGAAATAAGTCAGTCAGTCAGAGAAAGACAAATACCATATGATTTCACTCATATGTGGAATTTAAGAAACAAAACAAATGAGCAAAGGAAAAAAAAAAGGAGAGACAAACCAAGAAAGAGACTCTTAACTAGAGAGAACAAACTCATGGTTATCTCAGGGGTGGTGTGGGGAATGGGTTAAAGAGGTGGGAGATTAAGAAGTGTACTTGTCCTGATGAGCACTCGGTGATGTACAGAATTACTGAATCACTATATTGTATATCTGAAATGAATATAACACTGTATGTTAACTATATTGAAATTTAAATTAAAAAAAGAAAGTTGCATCACCTTATTATTCCTAGTGATTCTCAATATAGGGACTTTTTGTTGTCACAGTGATCTTGAGAGTGCTTTCTAACATTTAGAAAGCCAAATTGCAAGACAGCAATTTATATCTAAATAAGCACTAGAAAATTCCCATGAGGACATAATAGTTAATGCAGACATTTATTTCTAAACTCTGTGGAAGAAGTTTTAGAAAATTAATCAGTGCTTTGATCATTGTATGATTCATGAGTGCAGCTATCGTTCAGGGTCGGGATCCAGATACGAGATGCTCTGCCATAGGGATTCATCTTGCCTAATCACGTCTTGTCTCGGGTTCCACAGAACCATTGAATGCCCTGCCAGAGATGTGCATGAATGACAACACTGTCTGTAATGTCTGAGCCTAAAATTTAAAGCTTAAGGTCTGTCTTACAAAGAAGCAAAAAACCTTTTTTGGGGGGGGGCAATGCATTAATACATTTTGAAATTTTCAGGAATACTCATACCATATAAACTGAGAGAAGACTGCACTTTGTTTTGTTTGGAACTTCATCAAAGTCCCTGACTGCAACACCACTGACAGTAATTACATTGCCAACCTCACATAACTCATTATTCCATCTTTATGTCTTTCACATTTTCTTGAGAAGTGCTAGACTGCACATAGTTGCAAACTATCTGACTACTTTTATTATGTTCTGGTGTGGTCAGACCAAAGCATTTATAAACTGAAATACATACAATTTTATGATAAATTATTTTATTTCAATATATTTAAGATAAATTTTATATCTTTCTGGGGGAAATAATATGCATGGGCAGATTATATTATCTATGAATTCTCTGAGGATAGTGAAGACAGTGTTACTCAATATTTGTCATAAAAAGAGGACAGTGATTCTACAGTTGACCACCACTATCTGACATCAATCATTTTTTCAAGGAGTCTTTTTTTAAAAATTTTATTATGTTATGTTAATCACCATACATTACATCATTAGTTTTTGACGCAGTGTTCCATGATTCATTGTTTGCATATAATACCCAGTGCTCCATTCAGTACGTGCCCTCTTTAATACCCATCACCAGGCCAACCCATCCCCCCACCCCCCCCCTAGAACTTTCAGTTTGTTTCTTAGAGTCCATAGTCTCTCATGGTTCGTCTCCCCCTCCGATTTCCCCCCCTTCATTTTTCCCTTCAAGGAGTCTTTTCTAAAACTGTTCTTGATCATAATTTGTACTTCAGGATACAGTAAAAACAAAAACAAAAACAAAACTCTTTTAGGGCACTACAACTGCTTGAACATTAGCCCAGAAAGCTTATGACTTATTTTCATTTAAGCATAAATGAGTTTTGATTTACATTATAGTACATCCATCATCAATATGCTCTTGTCTTCCAACGTCTTGAAATAAGCATCAATTTCAACAGCAATGTTGATCTTCCCTTAGCAGATGAACAAACACTTCCCTTATCCAGTTGCTCCCAGATCTTCCCAGCGACTGCAGGTTTCCAAGTCCACAGCACTGACTTAAACTATTATTTCCTTGTATTTACCACCACCACATACTGCCTCCTAGGACAGCTTCCCACCTTTATCAAACGACTTCTGCATATTGCTTACAGCATTTCTTGCCATTTTTTGGTATCTTGTCATTATCTTTGTAGAATTCAAATTCAGATTTCATGCTAGTGTTCTAAAAATACCGTTCCTTTAGAGGTCCTTGACTCCCTCAATGCCAATGAGTTTCACCTCCACTCCACTTCAGCCATTCTCCTTGGACACATTTGTATCACTTGGAAAAGCCCCACCTTCAATTCCTGAATGAAGTATAACCTGCTACTCCAGTCCCTTCACTGCTACTTAAATCTCCCAGTTCATCACCAACCTTCTGTGTTTGGTTGTATTTCTACTTAGGAATGATCACATTGTCAGCCAGTGAAAGCATAATGCAGAAAAGCTTTTATAATCATAGCAAAATCACTTGATTCTTCATCCTCTACCAAGAAGGGCTGGTGAGCTACACTGTTCTTTCCATCGGTCAGGGCACTGTATATCTTGCTGACTTTCACAAATCATAACTTTAAACTAACCTGAAATCTTCTGACAGCAGTAATGCCACTTTAAACGATTTCTAATATAAGTTGCTGAATTTCAAGCATACATGCAATGAGAGTCATGCTGTTAACAGTAAGCAGAAGAGTGGCTTAGTGGGCGGGCAGCTACAGGCTAATCAACTGTACTGATTTATTACATGACGATGTTTCTTCCTGGAATGGGAGCATCGCTTGATCAGATTTTCAAAGTGACCAGTGTCTACTGCCCCTCCCCATCAAAATAAGAACCAGAGACTTACGAACAGCAACACATCCTTTAGATATTTAAAAATACCCTTCACCCAGCAACCACTTACAAAATATATTCCAGTATCTTAAAAAAATAAAAGTCCCACCCTAAGTAACAAATAGAATACAAATAATATATCTTACCCTCTTTTAACAGACTCCAGAAATTGAGCATTTGGTGGGTCATTATAAGGTCTCAGTTCTCCATCATCTAAACTGAAACCATTGCTCCATAGTTTAAGCAAAATCTGAACCTTTTTAATGTAGGAAAAAAGATAAAGAAATACAAGAATCCATCTGTATCAAATAATTTTAAGCTTCAAATGTGATATTTCACAACATATTCACAACATAAACTTACACCTACTTTATTGAAAATATGGAGTTATTCAAATTACTTTAGTTACAGTTAAAAAAAAAGATGTAAATGAAAGCAAGTTATGTTTGCTCAGCAGATTTGTATGTAGCTTAACAAATCGACAATGGCTGAAATGCCAAAGCTAGATCCTGGCCTTGATTACAATTATTCTGCTTCATTGGGAAAATGAAAGCAATGAGAACATCCAGCTGCAACTCCACATCCACTTTACTCCTTCAACTGTACCTACACTCTTGTCTGCTACACAGGGCTGAAATATTATGTCAAGGGGCAAGGCAGAATTTCCAGTGACCTCCAAGGTCACTAAAGGAAACATGTTTAAATGAAAGTATAACTCCAAATTTTAAAACGCAAAAACAAAGAATGACTTTAGGAATTTCCCTGTTTACAACTCAGCTAATTCTCTATTATGACAGTATACTACTTACAATAATTATTACTGTATGTACATAAAGCTCATTTTGACAGTGAATCTTATATTATTTCAACATACAGAAAATATGTGCAATCTAAGTGCAAGGCACAATTGAGATACAAAATATAAAATTTGAGACTAAAAGCTTATACATTAGTCCTTTTAAAATCCATGTTTCAAAAAAAAACAGAAAAGATATTATATTTATATTACCAAGTTTTAAATTTAAAAACAGTAGTAACTAGAGGCAAATATCTGCAACTTTTCATTTTGGTTACTGTACCTACATCTTGCAGTTGATTTTCTCCATAGATGTATTCAGACCGTTTACAAAAGGAATTACCCAGTCTGTATCCTCCACCTGTAAATGACTGAAATACACAGCAAATGAGCTAAAAATTCACTATGGTTTATGGGCAAAATGTTATGATAATGTGTGATATATATTTGAAAATTAGATCAACTATAATTAGCCAAACTAGTTTATACTTTCCAGGAAAATTTTATATTAAAATGAAGGTTTTATGTTACAGAGGAGTATACTCAAGTCAGAAATTCTGTTTCTTCCCATAAAAATGTTAGTGACTCAGAAGTTGAAATAATTTAGGCCAATCTTAAATTAAAAAATACATTTATAAAATGAAATATATATTTTCAAGTATAAACATATTTTAAAAAGCTACCACTAATATTTTATGATGTCTTACAATAAAAATTATGTCTAAAACATATTTCACAAATAACAGTTCACAGCATAAAGGAAGAATTTTATAAATAGGTATAAATTATCCTGAAGAAAGGCTCCATATTTATTTTATAAGCTGCTTTTATTCAACTGTAACAATCAACTATGACTGCACTTTTTGTTTTACCATACTGATCACAAGGTCTTCTATTTTTCAGGTAGGATAGCTTATGAGGTAAAAATGCCATTCTTTTTAATCACCATGCATACCATAAATGAGCTTTTAATGATCACATTGCTTTCTTTTCTATAGACTCAACATATCAACTAAATATATCAATTCCACATTTTTCTTATAGAATCGGAGAACCTGCAAGAACGCAAATTACCTTAGATTTAACTGAAAAAGAACTGTAAGCTGTTAGTCAATTTCACTTCAACAAAGTGAAAACTAAAATTTATGTTTCATTAGAATAGCAATTCTCAGCAATGGTTCTCAACAGTGGAGGTCTGTCACAATTATCAGACAGGCTTTTTCAAAAGACATATGCTTAGGCATACCAGAAAATTGCCGAACCATAATACCAGAGGCCATATGGTAGTTTAGAAAACGTTCCCAAACGATTGTGATAAGGGAACTCGGGCTGAGAAATGCCAATTTTAAGAATATTATGACAATTACACACAAAAAGACACCTGATGTCTTCATGTCTTCAACAAACCAGTACGATGTCAGCTGATATAGTTATAAAAGCTGTATAAAAGATGTATAGAAATTTTATGAATGGCGCAAAAGCAATTCAACAAATGGTGGTGTAGCAAGTGGACACCCATAAATAGGAAAACAAACCTTGATGGAAACCACATGTAAAATTAACTCAAAATGGATCACAAGTTTAAGTATAAAATGTAAAACTATAAAACTTTTCTAGATAACAGGAGAAAACTTTGAGGCCTACGTTTAGATGAAGAGTTCTTAGAGACCAAAAGAATAATCCATAAGGAAAAAAAAGACAAATTGGACTTTATCAAAATTAAAAACTTTTGCTCTGTGATAAACCCTGGTAAGAGGATGAAAAGACAAGCTACAATCTAGAAGAAAATATTTGTAATCCATATATTTGATAAAGGACTCAAAACTATTAAAATATATAAAGAACTCCCAAAACTCAACAGTATCAATTCAATTTGAAAATAGGCCAAAGTCACTTTACTGAAAGGGATAAGAAAGATAATGGCAAATAAACACATGAAAAGATGTTCAATATCACTAGCCATTAGGAATATGCAAATTAACATCACTGGCCATTAGGAAAATGCAAATTAAAACCAAAATGAGTCAAAAACTACACACTTATCACAATAGCTAAAATTTAAAATAGTGACAATATCAAATGCTGGCAAGAATGGAGAAATTGGTTCTGTCATTCACTATGGGAAAGAGTTTGGCAGTTTCTAAGAAACTAACATATACTGACCATACGACCCAACAACTGGACTCTTGGGCATTTATCCCAGAGAAATGAAAACTAATATCCACACAAGAACCTGTACACGATTGCTCACGGCAGCCTTATTTGTAATAGTTCCAAACTGGAAACACCTCAAATGTCCCTCAGTAAGCGAATGGTTAAACCAACTGTGGTACATCCATACCATGGAGTGCTATCAGGAATAAAAAGAATGAACTGAGACACTCAGTAACTCTGATGACCTCTAGGGCATTAAGCTGAGTGAAAAAACCAATTCCAAAAGGTCACATACTATGATTACATTTGTATAATAACATTCTCAGTATTACAAAATCATGGAGATAGAGAACAGATTAGGGTGGCAAGAGACTAGAGATGGTGGAGGAGAGGGCTGAGGGTGTGACTAAAATGGGGTACACCATGAGGGAAATCTTTGTGACGACAGAAGAGCATCTTGATTGAGTTGACAATTATACAAATCCATGCATGTGAGAAAATGACATAGAACTACATACACACATGGTACCAATGTCAAATCTTGGCTTTGATATTGTACTATAATTATGTTAGATATAACCATTGGAGGAAACTGGGTGAAAGGTACACAGGACCTGTGTTCTTTTTGCAAATTCACATAAATCTATAATTATTTTTTTAAGAAAAAGGTAAATAGAAAGGTTTCATAGAGATGTAAGAAATTGCTGCAACTTTCAATCATTAATAGAACGATTGTAATCTTATAAAAATAGAGTGAATGCTTAAAATAAAAATATATAGTTAGAAAAACAGTGTTTGCAAATAATATAAAAACCTATAGAGGAGAACAAATATATACATAAACACACACACACACACACACACATATATAGTATATTTAGTTTTTAAATTTAGCACTTACCTTAGATTTGTTATCACCAGAAGCTCTTGTGGCTTCATTCAGAGGGACAGCCCCATGTTCTCTTGCCTCTTTGAAAAGTTCATTCACAATTTTCCCAGTTGAAGGTCGAACTATATGTAATCCACTGTATTCATGTTCACTTGAATAGAACCTTTAAACATTAAAGTTCATGAATAGAAACTTAGAATACAAACAAAACTCCTTTAAAGTAAAAAGTTATAGTCTTAGGGAGTAACTTTATTTAAAAAGAGCCATATCTATGACTTCTGTGGAAATATTTAATTTTAAAAATGGGATTAAGGAACAAAATAGTAAACAGTTCATACACTTCCTCATGGAATTTGTGGAGATTATGGCAATCAAGCTCAGCATTTCACATGAGAAGTGGCTTGTCACTTCTTCCCCCCTCCTTCTGTAACTGCTTATCAAATGCATCTCTTGCACAACTTAGGCACTTTTGATGTGGTGCGCAAAGTAGTGTTGACAAGCAGAATTCAGTCTCTTCCCCTAAGGAATCCACATTCAGTAGGGACTTAGTGAAGGGCTACTCATAGGGAGTTTATTCCTCAGAGATTTTTGGATTCAAATATTATAATTTCCCTGTGTTAAAGGCAAATAATTCAGACCACAATTTTTTCAGTGTATTAGCTACATAGTGTCTAATTTCTAGTCTGACTCCAACTTCATAATGGTCTTAGGGAATATAAAAATTCACCTAATTTTTTACATAAGATTTTATCTACTTCATCTTTCAAGATTTTTTTTAGTCAGGAATATTAGAAAATATAGCCAATGAAATATCAACATGGAGACTGCCGGAATAAGGTAACAATCAAAGCTCATATGTTTAACTACCTATACCCTCCAATCCAGTTCCAAATTTGTACTGAACTGTCTCACAAAACAAAGAAAAATTATATCAGCGCCAGAGGCTAGGAACAGAGGTCACCTTCAAGACCTTCTGCAAAACTAGTACATGCAAAACTACAGGAAAGAGGGAAGGGCAGGGTAGCTCTCAATTCACTGTAAGTGAAGGAAAAATCCACCTGGAGAACAAATCCACCTGGAGAACCAATCAACAGCAGAACCCTATGAACATAAGACTAACTCCTAACTGCTAGGGGCAGGGGTAAGGTGGGCTGTCCTCCATCCTGCTAGTGTACCTGGCAAGTACAGAGGTGAGTTTGCCCAGAGCAGGAGTCAGAGGAAGCCTTCCTGCCAAGCTTAGACTCAGAGGGCCTGGTGTAGCAAGCAAAGCCAAACAATACCATAGCTGGCTCTGAAGATGAGCAGTAGTGTGAGGAGGAGCTCTGATGTAAGGCAGCTATGAGATAGAAAGGGAAGCGGAGGGGGAAAGGAAAACAAAAGGAAAAGCTTCCTGCTGCAGCTCCTTCCCTCCCTGTCCTGTGTCTCTATTCTGGAAAGTACAACTATATAGTTCCTTTTTACGTCAGTCGTGGTTAGAGAGACCTTACAGGAAAAGTCTGATGTGGGAAAAGATTTACTACCTCCTTTACAGCTCATGATTTTATTTCCTGTTTAAGAAATCTTTGCCTACCTGAAGGTCATGGAGATACTCCATTTTCTTTCAGAAGTTTTATTGTTTTCTTTTTATATTATATTTTATTGTTTTCCTTATTATATACTGCTATATATATATATAATATATATATTATACACCTATTTACATTTCCTTTTGTATTTAGATACACAATCCATCCATTTCTCCTCTTTCATAATTAAGTATGCCTATATCCTTGACTCTCGTTCTCTACTTAAACTCCTCTGATCATCAAAACATATGTGCACTCCCACAGATAACAACCTCCTCTACAGATGACTCTCAAATATGTTTTTAACACCCTGTGACTTATGGTCAAGTGCAGAATTAATTAACTAATTTTTCAAAGATTTATTTATTTTAGGGAGAGAGAGTGCGAGTGAGCAGGGGAGGGGCAGAGGGAAAGACAGAGTCTCAAGCAAACCCCCTGCTGAACACAGAGCCCATCACTGGACTGGATCTCATGATCCTGATATCATGACCCGAGCCAAACCAAGTCAGAAGCTTAAGTGACTGTGCCACCCAGACACCCCACTGAGGGGCTGAATTTAAAAGCACCTACTGAATCAAGTTCATCTCTCCAAAACTAAACCTATATTCCTCACATAAACCTTCCCATTAACAATCACATTTTTTCCTGCACACCAGATTAAGAACCTTTAGGTTTCGATTTCTCATTCACTTGCTCCCTATATCCCATGTCATCAAGTTTCTACACTAAATTCTTTGCAAGTCTCCCACACTGATTTCACCTTTCTCCTCCATTCCATTGATGCCATTTTAATCCAAAATTTTATTAGCACATTCTTTAGATTACCGTAACTGTTTTCTTAATTTGTCTCCTTATCCTGTTTTCCCTGTTACAATTAATTTTGCACTCTATATCACCAGTCCTATTTTTCTAAATATGTAATAATAATAGTTAGCACTTATCAAGGTGTAACTATGTGCTCACTTAACCCTCCTAACAATGGTATTATCCCTAATTTACAGATAAAACTAAAGCTTAGGGAATTTAAAAAATTTGTCCATTGGCAAAACCTTATTAGAACAGAAAGAAAAAAATTAGAACAGAGGTGTATCTATCTCTAAAATCAAAGCTTTTATCACTATATTATAGTTTTTATCATAAAATTTACATTTAAAAACACATACTGGTGTTCCACTGCCTTCTACACAAATACAACTCCCCTTGGCTTTCGAGGCTGTCCATAACGTGGCTCGATCTAGGACTGGCTACATAATTTGTGGGGCCCAGTGCCAAATGAAAATGAATGTCAGTTAATACATTTTATTTTATTTTTAAAAGATTATTTATTTATTTTAGAGAGAGAGAGCGGGGTGGGGGGGGAGGGACAGCGGGAGAGAGAGAATTTCAAGCAGGTTCTGCACTTAGCCCAGAGCCCAACATGGGGCTCAATCCCACAATCCTGGTATCATGACTTGAGTTGAAACCAAGAGTCTGTGGCTCAACCAACTGAGCCACCCAGGTACCTCTCAATTTAATAAGTTTTAGATTATATAATAAGCTAAGAACAAACAACGAAAAGGTGGGAAGAACGCTCTGGATTGAGATTCAAAACAGGCATAATCAGGTGGAATGCATGGCCGTTGGTTACATCCTAAATCTGAAAAAGGCTCGAAGACATATCTGACTATGGACTATATATTAAATGATTTTATGAAATTACTGTTCATTTTCTAAGGTGTGATATGTTATCAGGGTTATAAAGGGTATGTGCTTCTTCTTAGGAGATGCATGCTGAAGTATTTAGGGATGGAGTGTTATGATGACTGCAATTTGCTTTCAAATAGTTGCGTAAAAGAGCACTTGCATGAATGTAATGCTGTAACATGCTAACAACTGGTGAATACAGGTGAAGCATATATACAGCATATATTCATTGTACTAATCTTTTGATTACCTATGGGTTTGAAAATAAAATAAAAAGTTTGGGAAAAAATTAATATTCTTTCTTCTCATTCAGGTCCAAAAAGGTATGTCATTTTTATCTCCCCTACGGAAAAAAAGGAAGTGGAAAGTGACAGACAAAAAAGAAAGAATAATTTCCAGTGAATTTTTAAACTTCTGGTAAAATGACAGACTTTCTGTGAATAAGATGTATCAGAAAAATTCCAAGTTTCTCCCCAGTAAGGAGATTTGCAGTATTAAAAAGACACTAATGAAAATATTCCTACAAACAAGAAAATCCATGGTAATAAAGTATACCTGGGTCTCATCTCTTAAATCTTCATGGCTGGCTCCCTTTCTAGTTCAGGGATTTTAACAACAGCAAATACTATATAGGAGATCACTTATTAGATGGGTCATCATTCAGTGCAAACATAGGTTCCTGGAGTTCTAGATTCTTTTTTTAAGATTTATTTATTTATTTGACAGAGAGAGAGAGTGTGAGTGCACAAATAGGCAGAGCAGTAGGCAGAGGAAGAGGGAGAAGCAGGCTCCCCACCAAGGAGGGAGCCGAATGCAGGGCTTGATCCCAGGACCGACTGAGTCACCCAGGTGCCCCAGGTTCTAGATTCTTAAATGGCGGGCAAAAGGCACATAGGGGCTCCATGAGTGGGTTTTCAGAAACACAAGTCCTTAAAAACAACTGACAAAATTGTGTATAAATGCTGTTTTGCAGGGAGAGGGGCTGTAGCTTTTGTCAGATCCTCAATGCATCCTATGACTCAAAAAGAACCACTGTGTCTAAGAAAAATACTATTCAGTGTATATTTCTTTATGATGTCTACCAAAGTATTAGGTATTTAAGATAACTTTTCCGTTTCTTTCTTTCTTTTTTAAAGATTTTATTTATTTGTGAGAGAGAGAGCACAAGCAGGGGGATCAGCAGGGCAGATGGAGAAGCAGGCTCCCCGCTGAGCAAGGAGCCCAATGCGGGACTCGATCCCAGGACCCTGAGCCAAAGTCAGATGCTTAACTGACTAAGCCACCCAGGCATCCCAATTTTTCCATTTCTTTTAGCTTTCTGACTATTACCATTTTAGGAATACTACCTAAATAATATTTATTTTAGAAATCATAGTTTTAAAGAAAATTCCCAAGACCATTTAAAATAATTTAGCATTAGTGAACTAAAAAGAAATACAATGTTTAAAACCCAAACAAGACAAAAACAAAACAAAACTTACCTTTGAGGTGGTGTTCGTGGGCTTTTAAAGACTGTAGCTTTGGGTCTATCAGATTTGGAAGATTTGCATTTCACTTCATCTTCATATAATTCTGCCAAGGCCAACTATAAAACAACAGGTTTGTTATAAAGTATAACATAGGACTGAACTATTCTACACAAGTAGAAATTATGACTAGAACACGTGATTGTGTAGTACAAATTTCTAATGAAAAATAAAGGCTGCTGTTTCAGATGACCCCCTTTCAAAATAAAACCAATGTATCCCTCACTTGATAAAACTAACCAAAATGTCACATATACTGGAATACATTAAAGTTACCATAACTGCTTACTTATTTTCAATTAACTATTCAACTGTTTCAAAAACTGTATTTGGTAACAGATCATTTTCAAAGCTGAGCCTACAATTTTCCTATAATTAAAAAAAAAATACTTGAAGATGTTTCACACTAATGTCAGCCTGCTCTCATCAAATCTCATAAAATTTTTTCATTTAGCTGTTCAAGTTTTTAAAACCCAAGCACATACAATAATTTCAAAATTATTCTCTTTAAAAGTCTACCTGACGTAAATTTATCAAGTTTAGGAAAATGAACTTTTAAAAATATAAGACAATGTATTATATATATGGATTATATAAATTTTAGAAAGTAATATTACCAAATTATGCATTATAAATATATGGCTGGGTACTTTTAAATGAAATAAACACAACACAGTTTTTGAAATTGGAATTTTAAAAAGTTCTCCAAATATTTCAGCATTGTTATTTTGTTCCATTTTGGACAAGAGTTCAAAAACTTCCCTTAATGCTCCCATAATTGGCATGATCATAATCCCCAAAAATCTTTTGGAAAAAAAAAATAACAAAAAACCAAATCCCCCTAAAAAACCAGATAAAGTGCTCCTTCCAGAAAAACAAGAGATATGAAAACTACCTCCAGGGCTTCTTTCATCAGAAGGAAAAGAAGAACTGGGGCAAAGTTACTTCTTTGAAGATTCTATTAGTCAACTTTTAAAATATACACACACAAAAAACAAATACAAAAGGATTTATTTTCCTCCCTAATTTTTACTCCTTACCCCATCCCCATACACCTACATCAACTTTTATATTTCTAACATGGCAATTCTGTTAGAAATCCTAATTATGAAAGTGCTCTGTAATCTAAAAGAACTGAATTAAAACTAACTTGGGCTCCTATGGTGTGACCTTGGGCATTTTATTTACCTTCTCTGTGCCATGGTTCCCTCATCTTTAAATGTCTGTTTTAAAAAATTACCTTAGAGGGTCATTTTAAGGATCACAGAATGCAAGTGAAGCACAAGGCAAGTGCTCCATTACTAGAAGATATTAAAAAATGTTTAACAATGACTATTATCAGTGTTTCATTTTCCCCAAGATTTCCTTATTCAGTGTTATCTACACATTATAGTCTCCTCCCACCCTAGCCCCTCCAAGATGAAAACAAAACAAATGAGAGAGACGGAGACAGACACTCTGCCTGACTACTTGTGTCCAAAGTTTTCAGAAATTTTACCTCCCTGAAATCTGTTCAAAACAGTATTCCTTTATGGAAGTTCCTCCTGAGCTGATTATTTCAGCTCTATGAATTACTTTTATGTGATTTCTAATCCCATCAATGGAAATGTTACCTATATTGCAAAGGCCCACTTCAGCCATCCTTCACAAAGCCTTTTCTAGTTTTCTTAACTAAATGATATTTCTTTCCTAACTCATTGTATATGCTATTCTATTATTAACATTTATAAACATTATATTGTCATCACTTGTGTACCTTTCTCACGATTTTATCCCTCCTACTATAATTTAGATTTCCTAGATGGTTTCTAATATAGTACTTCATGGACACGAAACAAATTCATGTTGAATTATGTAAATAATAAATATAAAGTTGTAGATTTCTAAAAATTTATTTATTTGAGAGAGAGTGAGAGAGAGAGAGAGCACGAGCAGAGGGAGAGGCAGAGGGAGAAGCAGACTCTCAGCTGAGAAGGGAGCTGGAAAAATGTGGGGCTTGATCCCAGGACTCCAGGATCATGACCTGAGCTGAAGGCAGAGGCTTAACCAACTGAGCCATCTACGTGCCCCAAGTTATATATTTTAAAACTCAGATTACATTTTCTATATAGTTTTTTATCTTGTTTTTTGTTCAAGAAGATTTGAACAAACCCTGTCAATCAACTAATTTTTTTCTATAAAATAAATGAATAAAGCAAATAATGTGTTTTGATTCTGTGGAATATATATATTAATAAGATATTAATACATATTAACAAGATAGGAATATGGGGTAAATTGTATTAGAGCAGGGAGTCCACCTAGCTGAAAAGGTCTTAGTTATTAATGGTGCATTACTAAAAGGAAAATGAATGATATTTAGAGGGAATTATTGCTGGGATTCATTATCTCCCTGCAGCATCATATGGTATAAGTTCATTAGTAAATATTATAAAGAAATTTAATTTATGTTAGTTGACATAGCAAATGACACCACACTAGAAGAGGAAATGATTATTTAAACTGATCAAAATAAAGTACTGGTCAAAACAAATAGAACAACAACTAAATATCAAATAAAGAGATAAGAATATGTGCATTGTGAAGTAATGAATCATTGTGAATTAACAGGACAGAGTGTTCCACAGGCTACACAATTAGATTATGAAGCTATTTCAATTACACAGAAGGAATAAAGTATGTAAGCACTGATAATCTTTGCTTTAGAGTTTGCAATGTGAAGAACATGAAAAGAAACCTGAGAGCAAAGTAATTGAGAACGAGAAAATCAGGTATAAAGCAAAAGATTAAAATTACTGCAATTCTCAGTCTTAGAGCGACAATTGCCAGAAGGTAACATAGTGATTTTTTAAAATATAGAATAGCAATATCAGCATCACCTGGGAACCTTTGAAAATACAGATGCTCCAGCCCCACCCTAGACCTAATGAATGAAAAACTCTGGGGTAGGGCCCTGCAATCTGTGCTGTATCAAGCCTTCCAGATGATTCTGATGCATGCTAAAATTGAGAACCAATACTATGGAATACTGATATCCAACAGGAGTAGGCTACTTGTGGCAACTGTAACACAGTATCAGACATTCTTACTCTTTTCTCACTTCTAGAACTCCACTGTTTACCCCACCCCATTCTAACCCTAATAGATACTGAAGTTATCTCTAATTATCCTCCAACTCCAATCTATATGGAAATACAGAATTAAGAACAGAAATCTTCTTCCTTTGATATTATTCTGGAGGAAAACTGGGACAGAAGCATACAATTAAATATGTTAACCAACTATTAAACCCATGTTAGTAGACTGAGGGGAACCAGGAGAGATAAAGGTCTCAGAAAATGTTCAGAAATACTAATAAACACTGAGGTTTTGAGGGCGAGGGCTGTCACTAACAATCCCATCCTAAACCTTTCCATTGAACGTTTCCCAATTTGGGGGGAATGAAGGGAGCTAAGATCTGCTCTTGGTTTGATATCCACAGGAGATTTCTGCGGTTTATGTCAGAGGCTCACAGTGCTGGGAGGCTTTCTGGGAGACAACCATCCATGTTTCCTCCTGTGCTAAATGAGGAACTTTCCTGATTTAGCTGCCAACAAACCCTACACTGCCTGGCAGCTAAGATATGCATACTTAGGGTATCTTTTGCTTGTTCCAATTAGTAATATCTCCCTTTTCCTCTATAACACTGTGAATGACTGACTCTTAAAGCAAGCTGTCCAGAAAGTAGGAAGTATTTACTGAAAATTACACTTAAGATAAGCACGGCTTGATTAAACAATAACAAGATAATCAAATAGTAATCACTATTCAAAAAACTAGTTGGGGAGAAGAACATTACTCCTTTTAAACCTACTCTATTTCTTTTAAACTACTCTATTTCTTTGTACATCATCACTTTGGTTGTTTTTAGGTTTCTTAGCAAGGTCTTCAGATTCTTATTAAATTCTAAAGGAAACATTATCAATACTTAGTGTATTTGATATCCAAATCACATTTATAAAAAAATAGTTATCTGCCTACCAACCTAACTACCAGAAAGTAGATTTAAAAAAAAAAAAAAAAATCCCCGGGGCGCCTGGGTGGCTCAGTCAGTTAAGCATCTGCCTTCGGCTCAAGTCATGATCCCAGGGTCTTGGGATGGAGCCCCACATCAGGCTCCCTGCTCAGCGAGGAGCTTACTTCTCCCTCTCCCACTCAACCTGCTTCTGCTCTCTCTAGCTGTCAAACAGATTAAAAAAAAAAAAAAAGTCTTAAAAACAAATCCCTATCCTCTAATTGACGGTGAAGAGGAAGGCATTCTTTCAATTAGTGACATCTACCAAAATATCACCAATCATTAATCATATATTAATCTGCTGGATTAAGTCTAAATTTGCCAAGTATTAGGCAATCATTAGCCAAGCTGCTCTCATTTTTCACATGAAAAGAATAGAATGAAATTAGAGAAAGGATATTAAGTTCTATAGTTTTAACTTTAATGGCATTAGAATGGACTAACCAGTTAAAGTTACAGCATTTTCCTCCTTTAAAGAAAAAGGAACCAAATATTTACCAAGCAAGTACAGAGCCAGGATAATATGGGAGTGGCATGGGCACTTTATGGACATTTCATCCTTGACACCACCATCACCCCTAGTTTACAAATAAAAACACTGAGGATCAGAAAGGTTAAGACATTTCTCTTACATTCACAGGCCTACCAAGTGACAGGTCCAAGATGCAAACAGAAATTGATCTAACCAGAAACTATTTTTTCTCAACGTCCCATGTTGCCTCTTAGTGCCTCTTAGTGATGGTAGTCTACCATAGAAAAGATGAAGCAGATCCTATTCCTTGATCCTGTTTACTACTTAATTGACTTTACTACTACTTGAATTGACTTAAGAGCACTGGAATTATTCCACATTCGGTTCATCTTCTAACCTAACACTGAGTTCTCCATTCTCCGAATTCTTCATTTTATGTACTGCTTAATTTGGCATTCAATCGTACTCCACCTTAAAATGTCATGGCCAATATATTCATATATTATTTCTGCAAAAAATAGATAGACATGCTTTTTACACTTCTATCCCCTTCAACAGTGTCCAGCACTAACTATAGATTTGATGTCCTATTCATCTCTGCACTGGTGGAGTTTAGCAGTATGTTGCATTGGAGGTGGTCAATGCTTGTTCAAAGTAGAAGCAACTGTAACAGAACTCTTCTACCGAGCATGTAGATTTGGTGTCATTTACTTTTAATAACACAACTCCTTATGACTGTTTACTTGTTGATTTTATCAATGGTCTTAGGAGACAGAAAAAAAAAAAAACCGCCTAAATGAGCAAAGCAGTATTAAGCATCTGAAAAAGCGAGATTTGCTGCATTCGTATTTAGCTCACTAATGTCACCATGAAGTTTTATTTCGCTGTTTCTCCTGTGCAATGTTTCATAGACGGTAGCTTTGACAACTAGGCGGTGCAGCCGTAGGATGGAATACTTTAGCTCACTTTTAAAAGGGAAAAGCTAGCTGATAAAAAGGAAGCATTTTTATATAAAAGTAATCCAGACAGAAACAGCATCCAAGACAAGAAAGATCAAACCAGCACACATGTTACTACTTATAAAGTGATCCTGATTTTCCACGGGCACAGTAAAGCTTTCTTCTACAATAAGTCTTCTGAAGGAAGCACCAACCAGTGAACCACTCAACGGACCCCACACAATGCCATTCGAAACAGTTGCTTCTTAAATTGCAAATTGGGTGGAGGGGGAATGAGGCCCGGGCAACAGAGAGTTGGGCTCGGGCACTTGTTTCCACGAAAACCACTGTTCGATGCACCGCCCTGAGGAGACCTGCGACCCCGGAGTCACAATTCAGTCCCCAGGTGGGGTCTGGGCAAGGGCTCAGCCGAGGCCAGGGGCGGACTCCGACACGCACCCCTCCGCGCAGTCACCCGCCGCCGCGCCCCGCCCTCGGCCGCTCGCCGCACCTGCAGATCCCGCGCGCTCGGGGGCCGCGGCCCAGAGGACCTCTCCTGCTCCCCCGGCTCGGCGCCGCCACCTTCCGCCATCTTTCACCGGCCCGCCAGCGCCTGCGCCGAGGCGCTTTCCGCGCCTTCCGGGGCCGGTTACCAGGCAACCGCGGGAGGGGCGGTGCCTACGCGCTCCCACTTCTCCCCAGCACCGGGCGCGCGTCTCAGTCTTCCGGCGCCAGCCTTCCAGTTCTGTGTTCTTCTCTTACTTAAAGGAAACTGGTACGAAGGATTTCTCCGCAGGGACGCGTCTACGTAAGCCTTCTGTTCTCTCTGCAGCACGCCTGAAGGCACTGTAGGCCACTCTAGAGGGCAGCATAGACTTTCAGGTTCTTTTAACTCAACAGTGAAAACATCCTCCTGATGCATTGTCTAATAAAAACGGCAACCTTACTTTACTCGCCTTGGTCAAATTCTCTCATCTTCCCTACCAAAGACTGGGTGGTACGTCGCCCCCAATGCGTGAATTGGTGTTGAGGATGAAAAACACCGTTAAAGCTCTTTGCACTCAGAACTGGAGGCTACTAAACCGTCTCCATTCATCTGAGATTTGTTAAACTACTGTCTTAGTCCAGGCACTTTTATGCCCCGGGGATGCAAAGGTAGAAAGTAGTAGTCCTGGTCATTATAAAACTCACAATCTAGTGGGGGAAAGAGATATAAACAGATAATAAAATGCAATTTGCAAGAGAGCTTTGCATTGAATGTTATGAGTGGGATGTGGGGTGTGAAGGAGAGTATTCTGTTGGTGCCTGCTATGTGCACCATCGTAGGTGCATTCCATGTGTGATCTCCTCTATCTCCCTGTTAGTCAAGCATTATTATTACCGTGTTATACCCAAGGAAACCAGATAAGTAACAGCTACGTTCACCTGTTGTGAATGGCAGTACCAGATACCAAACCTGGCATGTGTTGTCCCAGTATTCTTTTTAATACAACGTTCTGCCCTAGAAATCCCTGGCTCTTCTTTAAGCCCATAGAGCCAATGACGTTTTGGCTGAATCTTAAAGGATAAGTGTTTCCAATAGACTTTGGACCAAAAGGGACCAAAAGGAATCACGTTGGTTTGAGATACCATGTCCTTGTTGATAAAGTAGTACATGGTTGAAGCTTAGAAGAAATGACAAAAGATAGTAATGGGGTTGTGGGGTATAGATCTAGATAGGAGATGTAGGCTTAGGACAGATTCTGAAAGATCCTGCCTTAGTGAAGAGATTGAACATTACCTCTGAGCCAGTGATTCTCAAATGCACATTAGAGCCCACATTAGAACCCCCTCCACACCTAACCCCAGAAATTTAAATTTAATTTGTACAGGGTAGAACTCAAACTCATATATTTTTTTAAAGTTTTCTCTCTCTCTTTTTTTGAGATTTTTTATTTATTTATGTGACACACACAGAGAGAGACTGAACACAGGCAGGGGGAGCAGCAGAGGGAGAAGGAGAAGCAGGCTCCCTGCTGAGTAGGGAGCCCGACATGGGGCTATATCCCAGGACCCCGGGATCAAGACCTGAGCTGAAGGCAGACACTTAACCTACTGAACCACCCAGGCGCCCCCAAGCTCATATTTTTTAAGATGCTCCCCAAGTAGACTTTGCTTCTAGCCATGAAAGTGTACCTGGTACTGGACTTGTCCTCCCACTCCCAACAATTAAAAAACTAGACAAAGTACATGAAACAATGGTTTTTGGATATTGAATAACAGGCAGTACAGGCCTGTGATATCCCAAAGAAGGGAAACAAGCAAGATGTGCTATGTTTGCTCTGGCTTTCTGCCTGGAACGCTCACAGTGCTGGTAGGAATGGAGAATGGCACAACCCCCTTGGGAGTTAGTTTCTTCTAAAACTGAATATCCAATATAAGACTTAGCATCTCCACTCCTAAGATTTATCCAAGAGGAATGAAAATATGTTTACAAAAATATTTGTACCCAAATATTCATAGAAGCTTCATTCATAATAGTCCCAAACAGGAAACAATCCAAATGTTCATCAACAAATGAATGGATAACATTTTGATAAATGCACACAGTGGAATACTACTCAACAGAGAAAAGGAAGATATTACGGATTCACACACCATGGTTGAATCTCAAAGACATCTTGAGTAAAAGAAGCCAGATGCAAAAGAGTAAATATTGTCTGATTCAATGTATATGAAATTCTAGCACAGGCAAAACTAATCTTTACTGGCAGAAAGCTGGTGGTTGCTTAAGGTGGTCTCTTTGGGGAAGGATAAGCTTAGGGAATTTGTCAGGAAAAGGACATATGGGAAATTTCTGAGATGATGGAAATGTTTTATATTTTGTGGTGATTACACACACACACACACACACATATATTTATACATATATATGTTAAAAACCCTCTGAACTATATACTTACAATAGGTATATTTCATTATATATAAATTATACATTTATAAAGTTGGTTGAAAAAAAATCTTCCCAGATAATTCTATTGTGCAGGCATGGTTGAGAACCACTGATCTAAGGCACCTGGGAGCCATTAAAGGATTTTTGATTTAGAAAGATCACAGAGGCATCAGTGTGTAGGATGAATCATTGTTAGGAAATCAGAAGGTTATAACAACAAGGAGAGGTGATTGGACTCAAGTTTTATCAGTGGCAGTGAGTACAGAGAGAAGCAATAGTTGGTAGAGATATTAGGGTCAGACCCAATAGGTGCTGGAATCTACTAGAAAGGAGGAATATAGAATGACATTCAGGGTTTTAGTTAGGTGGTTTGGTAAATGGCATTACCCACAAGTCACTGAGTTAAAAGGGAGAAACAAACTTCAAAATAAAGAGACAAATCTGTTATGGACATTTTGAATTTGAAATTTATATGAAACACTAGGGTGAAAATAAATTATGGAGCAATTGCAAATGTGGGTGTGGACTTTAGGAGATTAGGAGAGAATTTTGGTATGGAGACAAACAGATTTGGTGTTGACTGAATATCAGTGATAGCAGAGATGAGACTTCCAGCAGCAGTGTGAAATGTGAGAAGATATGAGGACTGACAATACACAGAAACATCAACACTGAAGGATTCGATGGAGAGAGGAGAGCATTCAAAGTAGACCTAAGGAATCATCAGACAGGTAGGATGAAGACACGAGACTGGAAAAACTAGTGACAGGGTGGTTTCAAGGGGAAGACCAACAGTGTCATTTCCTACAGATAAGTAAGATTAGGACCAGAACATATCCAGTGGAGTAAAAGAAGAGGAGGTTGATATACCAAAGGTCACTACTAATTTTTATAGAGAGGAAAATCCATATTTTAGTAGCTCGAGAGTGATAGCTAGGACAGTGGAGCCTGTATTTTCAATGTACTTAAAGTCAATGGTGTGCAAGAGGTGGCTTGTACTGACTTCTGAGAGCCTATTGTTAATTTTTCAGGAATTTTATAAAGAGTTGTTAAATATAGCCATTATTAAAAAGTAAATTACATAAACCTACAATGAAATCATATCAAAAACTAACGTAACAAATACTCAAAAATCATCATTGCGTAATTATTTAAATACATTTTATTATTACCAATACTGTTGAGGTTATTTACATCTCTTGTATCCATATGCTGGAGATACTATGGAATGACATGCTACCGCGCACCTCTTCCTCACTCCATATGTATTCATCCACAGCATGTGGTAGCTTGAAATTTACCATGATGGCAGTATTTACACCTCAGAAATTGGCAATACCACAAATGAAGATTTGATTTATTGCTTTGTTCAGTGTCTACTCTAGATTTAAAAATGTGGCGGAGAAAGTGTTTACAATTCAGTTAAGACTTAAAAGTATCCTGTGTCCATAGCTGTTATATTATGGAAAGAAAAAAGAAAAACAAAAGAAAGAAGAAAGAAAAGACATTTTCTTCCAGTATTTGGGAAAATTATTAGCCGATTCAGAAAAGAAGTCGCTCATGTCATGTCATTGAGTTACTCCGTGTGTTTGTGTTGTTTCACTCCTATCTTGTTAACGTGAACAGAAATCACAACTGACATTCACATGGTCCCTTTGAAGTTCCCTCTCTTTTAGCTTGTGATGAAAACTATAGTATTTCTTCCCATTCTTCTCCAAAGAAATATGATTATAAATACCTCACTGCCCCTCCATCCTCTATTTTATATTCTCAAAGTGGTTGAGGGGGGTCAAGAATCATGGCATTTATTCTATAGGATATAAAATCCAGGAGCTTCTGTCTCATACTTGCTTCCACATATAATATGTATTGTTTCTTGGGGTGCTTAAACTGGAAACTTAATTTTATACCTTGTTATACTTAGTTTTTCTTTCCATTAGACTATAAGATCATGGAGGCTACAGGCCTCTTTATCTCTAGTGTCTTAATATAGAACTTGGAACATAATATGTATCTTTTATTTTTTTAATTTTTTAAAAGATTTTATATATTTGGGAGAGGGTGAGTGAGTGTGCATGGGCAGTGGGGAGGGGTAGAGAAGCAGACTCCCCACTGAGAGACCCTGATGTGGGACTCGATCCCAGGACCTGGATCATGGCCTGAGCCAATGGCAGACGCTAAACTGACTGAACCACCCAGGCGCCCAATATATATCTTTAAAAAGTGTATAAATGAGTGAGTGAATGAAGGAAGGAGGTAGGGATCCATAATTCAGACTGAGGTTTGACTATCTCCAAAGGCCATTTTCCATTCATGGCAAATCAAGAAATAACAAGATATATCAACAGAGATCATCATGTATGGATGGGAGAGACAGAATAAAATGCAGGCCTCTCCATCTTGGACAAATAAACTGTATCCAACCGCAACTTCCCAACCTAAATGAAACATACACTTGCGTGATTTTACTTACGCTGGAACATAACTGAGGCCAAGATCCAAAGTCACTGTAGTATACAACCCTTTAAAAATTTAATATTGAGGGGCGCCTGGGTGGCTCAGTCGTTAAGCATCTGCCTTCAGCTTGGGTCACGATCCCGGGGTCCTGGGATCAAGCCCCGTGTCCTGGGATCAAATCCCACATCAGGATCCCTGCTTGGCGGGAGGCCTGCTTCTCCCTCTCCCACTCCCCCTGCTTGTGTTCTTGCTCTCGCTATCTCTCTCTCTGTCAAATAAATAAAT